TTTGCTTGAGCACTAAAATCGATAGAAATATTAGTATGAAATACTAATGAATTATACTTTCAAAAAATACTTTTGCTGAGCTTTTTTGCTTGCTCCCGAGCCCTGCTTGGAGCTACCACTGCTGTTTCCAACGGGCATAGACGTTTTCCCCGGCTGACTGAAGGCGCCAGCCGTTCTCGATCCGCTGGAGGGCAACCATCCAGCTGCATTTGTCTTTGAGTTAAGCTTTTGTAGCACCTTGGCCTTGATGTCGTTGCCGTCCCAGACCACGTCGTCTTCCCAGTGCAGCTGGGAAACCATGAGAAAGGCATCATCCGCAATGCTTGGCTCCTCGTCATCATCCTCAGGACTCTTTACACGGCGTTCATCCTTGATCTGCGGCTGGGACGAGGATGTTGCTACCTTTGTCTTGAAGCCGTAGTTGAAACCCTCTCCGGAGTCTGGAACTTCTAACATATCATACCAGATCTGTGCAGGCCCGTATCGCCAGTCGGCCACCTTCGGCTTCTGATCGCTGTTCTCTCCGTTGTCTGGTCCTTCTGGACGCACATCCTCGCTGTTAAAGTCGCCCAGCAGTTTGTCCTCGTCGTCGGACATGCATTCCGCTGGCGTGGGCTCTGCAGCATAATGCAGACTGAAGCCCCGCTTTCGTGGCTCCTCAGTATCGCTGGGAGAGTCCGAACCACCAGTATTTGTCGTCTGAAGGGGTTTAGGAAAAGTTTTCTTGTGATTACCCGCATATACCTCACCCCGTTTAAGTGTACACTACCTTCTGATCCCTGGATTGATTTCGCTTCCGGCGGCGTTTGCGCACGTGTCGCCAGATCTGGGGCAGACTTGTGGGTTTACCCGGTCCGAAGAGGCGGGAGAAGCGTAGCACCTTTTGGGGACGAAAATCCGGAAAGAGCTCGCGCACATCGACATTCTGGTACTTGGATGGCAGTATGTCTGCCAGTGGTGTGTCCAGCTTCCTATCCGCATCTAAAAGGAATGATCATTAACAAAAAAGACCATGTTTTCAAATAAATTTTACCCTTTGCATCGGTAGATTTGGGATCGCCACTGGGACTGGTTGCATCACTTGACTTGGCTTGTTCGTCAGTGCCGCCGCCAGAACCCGAGCGCATTGGCGCACTTGGTGGAGGCATTAGTTCCTTGTCGTCCTTGGCTGCAACAAAATTTGAGAGTTATTGCTTTTTTCGTTAATAGCCGAGGATAGCAATAGATCTGAGCACCAACTGCACATGGCACAACTCATTTTATAAGTGTCACTTTGACAGAAAATGCATAGAACTCCCAAGCTATCCTCTCTTGACAATGTAAACTGGCATAAAATGCAGATTACGCTCTTACTTACTCAGCTTGGCCTCTACTTTAGAGGCGGGAATGGCGTCTTCTAAGTCATCATAAGAAGTTGTTTCTTCGGGCGGAGTGCGTGGGCAGTCCTCAGATAACTCGGTAATATCAGAATAGTCTATGGCATCGTCCTGAGCTTTTACGGCACCATCCTCCCTTTCCTCGTTTTTGACGCCCGCTTTCAGCGCATCAAAGGCACTCATTCCTCCGCTGGCACTGGCGTCGGACTTTTCCTCCTCCTCGTCCTCCGACAGAGGCTCCGCTTCCTTGCGGTCGATAACCTCGAGCAGCATAGAGTCCAGACCTAATCTGAAATAATACGCAATGAAAATTTAATTAAAAGTCTCTTATATCTTGTGAATTAAGAAATAGTTGAATGGGTATGGCGGCGTGTTTACATGATTATCCCAAACAAGCCATCTAAACATCCACTTGCACTTGGAAGAGAAGACTTCATATACTCACTTGGACAGTGATCCAATGTTTTCCCGGAGCTCCGCATCGAAACCGGTGCCCCCGCGCCCCTCTCCATCATCATCTTGCAGCAGTCTGCCCTCGGAGTCGATGTTGCCGAAAAGAATGCCGGTCAAGTCCAGTCCGTTGCCGATTGATCCCTCGTCGTCACTGTTGTCGGATTCCATCTCCATTTCCAAGGGCTTCCAATGTTTACGCGGCTAAAATAATTTCTACGACGGAGCGTAATTGCATTTATCACACGCGTTAGTGTGACCGTCGATGTACATCGCAAAGACACCTAATGGCTCCCCCGCAGGCAACAAGAAATCCGCGATTAGATTTGAACAGGGGTTGGGATCTTGGGAAGGTTATTTGTGTTTTGTACCAAAGGTTGCGGTCAAAATAATAATGGTTTGAGATACTTTTATTCTCTAATTTTTAACAGGGGATCTTTATTTTGATGATATAAGATGGCCATTTTTTTTAAACGATCACTATTCTTTATAAGTATTCATCTAAAAATATTTTATTCGACGTTATTTCCAATTGATGAAAATAAATCATACTTCGTTTAAAAACGCTGAAATTATAAAGGATGTTACGATTTTCAGAACACTTGGAATATTAACACAAAATTCTGTTTCTTGTCTGTAACGCTGGTATGGTTATTTGAATAGGCTATATTTCTATATTTTTGTTCCGATTTGCCGGAAATGTTTAACAAAAAATCATACATAGATTACAAACATTTAAATAAAATAAAAAAAACGCGTTCAGGACTTGCACTTATTCTTCTAAACTAATTTTTTCATAATAATATAAATTGAAATGTTACTCAGTTAGTGGGAGTGTTACGATTGCTGGCATATCGATTGATATGTAGCAAATCTAAAAAGAAAACATTTTTCGAAATGGCGGACTTCTTAGGACTTATGGGCGTAATCAAAATGTTTTTCGATCATTGAAAGTTGCCAAGATACTCTTACAAAATCTAAACATTTTTCAAAGTGTGGGCGTGACAGCGTAGGACGTCTCGTTTCTAGAATTTGCAAGATTTTTCTGAACTTACTGTCAATTATATTTCCCGAGATCACAGCGTTCAAACGTACGTGGCCAGATCGACCCCGCCAGTGATCCTGATCGAGAATATATATACTTTATAGCGTCTTCTACCTGTTACATGCCTTCCAACGAACCCAACATACCCTTTTACTCTTCCAGTAACAGGTGTTTACTAGCGGCAGCAACATCGCCATATCATCAAAAGTGAATACTGAGACGGTCGTGGGGACTGATAAGCAATTTTGATTAGGTGCAGATTAACATTACTCCAAGCTCAACGAGGAATTTAGTATTTTTTGCACAAGCGTCACGGGAGGACAGACAGCAGTGAAATATGACTAGAGAAACCGTAATTTTGGCTTACTCCGGTGGCCTGGACACTAGCTGCATCCTTAAGTGGTTGCTGGACAAGCATTTTGAGGTCGTTTGTGTCCTGGCCGATGTTGGCCAGAAGGAAGATTTCACCGCCGCCGAGAAGAAGGCCCTTAAAATTGGTGCAAAGAAGGTTGTACAACCAGAATTGTGACATACATATATGGCGATCGAAACATATATTTAAGAATTCTTTTATTTTCTAATTCCTAAAAAATAACTTAATCGTCCTTTCTACTCAGGTGATCTTGGCCGATGTTAAGCAGTCCTTCGTGGAGGACTATATCTGGCCGGCCGTACAAATGGGTCTGGTGTACGAGGAGCGCTATCTGCTGGGCACTTCGTTGGCCAGGCCCTGCATCAGCGTAGCCCTGATGGAGGTTGCTCGCGATTATGGGGCCAAGTACCTGGCCCACGGAGCCACCGGAAAGGGAAACGACCAGGTGCGCTTCGAATTGTGTGCCTACGCCCTCAATCCGGATCTGAAGGTACGTTCCAACTTTCTAGAGGTATTTGAACTAATGATAATTGGTAGGACCCGGCAGGGTGAGAATGCCTCTCTTATCATCCCCTTATCGCCCGTCAAGTCAACAGTTGCCCTGAGCCCATATCATTTTAGCTTTTTGTTTGGGGTTTGTACCGTATTAAATGATAAGGTTCCGGTTTGGGAACCGGTTCGTGGACATACTGCACCGCGGTTCCATTTCAAACCACGGCTTAAAGAAGTGGTTTTGCGGGATTCGCCCTTGTTATTGTTGCCCTGCCGGCAGTATATTTATTTTTACAGAAATGAACGTCAAAATCGATTTATATGAAACGATGAAATTTAACAAGGATGAAACTAGCGTGTTAATGGTCAAAATCCATTTTTTTCAGATCATCGCTCCCTGGAGGGATGTGGAATTCTGTACCCAGTTTCAAGGTCGACAGGACCTCATTGCCTATGCCCAACAACAAGGAATCGAGGTGAGCGCCAAGCCAGCCACTCCCTGGAGCACCGACGCCAACATCCTGCACATCAGCTACGAGTCCGGTATACTCGAAGATCCCAACACAGTGGCTCCGGAAAATCTCTACGAAATGACAGTCGATCCCCTGACCAAGGCTCCTCGGGAGCCGGTTCGCTTGGTCATTCAATTCGATAGGGGACTGCCCACCAGTGTGGAGGATTTCGCCAGCAGTCGAGTCTACACGAAACCCCTGGAGATGCTAGATTTCCTCAATAAGCTGGGCGGATCCTATGGCATCGGGCGGATTGACATCGTAGAAAATCGCTTTGTGGGACTGAAGTCCCGAGGGGTGTACGAGACGCCCGGAGGCACCATCCTCTTTGCTGCTCACCAGGACCTCGAAGTGTTTGCTTTGGACCGCGAAGTACTCCGCACCAAGCAGGTTCTGCGGGATCGCATGGCCGACTATGTGTACAATGGCTTCTGGTTCAGTCCCGAGGCCATTTATGCCCGTAAATGCATCGAGTTGGCCGAGCAGCGGGTCTCCGGAAAGGTCACCGTGGAACTGGCCCCCGGATATTGCCGTGCAGTCGCCAGAAAGGCGGCGGAGGATGTGGGAGCTCTTTACAACGAGCAGCTCGTATCTATGGACGTCCATGGTGGCTATGTGCCGCAGGATGCGGGTGGATTTATCGCCATCAATGCGGTCCGAATCAGGGAACATGTCCGAGCGTTCGGTGCCTACGAAGTGCCGAAGGGTAAAAACTGAACGACAAGTTCAAGAAAGATTGAAGTTAGAATAAATTAAAGTTTCATATTTTATTGGAAATTTACTTGGACTTGATGACACATATTGTGGGTTCTACTTGAAAGTAAATACCTTCATGCACATATCATATGATATGACCAATCTGAGCCGATAGAATACACATTCATCGTCCAGCCTACTGATATTTTACTTACGCAGATAATTTTCATTGGCAAGGAGGGATAGGTTCGGTTCTATTAATAAGACTGATTAGCTTGTTCGCCACATAGTAGACATTATTTTGCCAAATAGTATACACCAAGGAAAGAATCGACAACAATATGGCATATCGATTATGCAGTCTAATTTTGCCAAATAGTATACACCAAGGAAAGAAACGACAACAATATGGCATATCGGTTATCTAGTCGACTGCCACAGTCTCTGAAACTAAATATAGTTAGGAATAGCATTTTGGCGCATATGAAAACCATACTATGTTTGTTGTGGTTTTGGCTTTTCCTTTCTCCTTTTCCCCTTCTTCTTCTTCTTGGGAGGAACATTGTCCGTGTATAATCCTTTCACATTCCCAGGTGGAGTATATCTGACCACGAAAATCCCTTGTTGAGCACTAAGGAACGGTGATCATTTTGGACCGAATAAAAAGAGGCACTTAATAGGTACCTAATAGGAACTTACTTTATGTTAGCGTCGCCATAACCCAAGGAAACTGAAGACCTCCAGATCATGGCAGTGAAATCTTTAGCCCTGGGGTCTAAAAAATCGAATTTTCTTCCTTTATACAAGTCCTTGACACACCTTGATAGTGCTCCCCTCTCCATTTTGAATTTGCAGATGCTTTCTGTGTAATCCTTGTTGGTGGGATCCGAAGGGGTAAAATTCGTCAACTTGGACATTTTCTGCGAAATTAAACCGATTAATTAAAATTAGACGAGTTGACTTTAATCATACCCAAGCATAACTTTGGCATCCTTTGCTGAGCACGTTGTCCAAGGCCAAGTTTGGAACTCCATGACGATCTCTTCTCTTGTTTATTTCCCTAAGAACTATGCCGGCATTATCAAAGTTTATGGCAGAGCTTCGATCGAACTGAAATAGATGTTGGATGGTAAGATGTACAAGCACGACACTCTTGCCAATTACCTACCAAAACTACCAAAAAGACAAGTATTAAAATCCTTATTAAACGCATGGTTATTTGTGAAGAGACTCTTGGGAGTCTCTCTACTAAAATTTTGGCATCTAATATTTTAACAGTGTTGCGTTGTTCTGAAAGGTTTTTCTATGCTCGATTGTACAAGCTTCAACTAAAATCAGTTGCACCCAGTTCACCCAATCTGTGCACCTCAGCAAAGCCCAATCAAATTCGAATCAAGTGCAGTCCAGTTGAATAAAATATTTTACGTTGTATGTAGTACATGCACTTCAGATTGGCAAGTAGTTGTGTAATATCTATTGCAATCAATTCGATTGTTTGTTTAATAAATCTGCTGCTCAAGTGTGGCGGCGGGACACTTGTAAAGGCAGTCGAATACACAATTAATGAAATACTATCATATAAATAAATATACATACATCATTCCCAATATTTGCCGGAGCTGAGACAAAAGCAAACAGAGGAGCCAACACATCTGCTCCAGCATGGATTTCCCAATCGCATTAATCTTGGTTCCGGAGTGGCCGGGTCCGGCGAAAGATGAGCAAAACAAAAGATGCTTCTTGTGAGTGTGAATACACAATCGCACATGCATAAATGCAAAAACTAATATTATTACAACAAATAAATAGAGGAAGATCCGACAGCAGCAGAAACACCGGATTGGTTTGTATTTTAGGCTTCTTGGATATTTATATGTCCATCTGCATCTGTGCCGCCGTGTGTAGGCAAACATTGTCCTTCTATTGACATGAATTGATGAGCGAGCAGGACATTTCCCAGCCCAGGGAATCAGGGCTAACGACGGAGAACCGAGCGATGACAACTTTCGACAGATCCAGGAGCTCCCGAAGGACATCGTGCACCAATATTTGACTTGGTTTCGGTGTCACAACTCACTTCGGGATAAGGGCATATAAACTGCGTAAATACAAAGGAGCAGAGTTCAGATTTAGCGAGCGAACTCCAAGATAAATCCGCACATAAAGTTGAAAAATAACATTATTCGAATTGTTTTATGTTAGGTGCATAAATAATGGCTGCATCAAACTTTCACTATATGGTATTGATTCCCGATGCACATAAGAACCACTGCTTTTTGTGCTCGAAAACCACAATGCAGAATTCAACGGAACTCTGCCCCAAAACGCCTTTGTCTGGTGGTCAATCGCATCGCTGCAGCATGGCAACAAATTCGAGCCTCTAAACCGCGCCTGTGAGCCAACTTAACTGAACTCGGCCTCGTGCAGCACATCCATCCACATCCATCCATAGCCATCCATCGGTGCATCCAGGAATCTATCCATCCATCAGTGGCAGATACAATGTTGCTTTTGTGGGTTGCGATGGTTGCTGGTGGCATACGATCAGAATCAGACAGCGTTGACGGTTCAACTTTGTGCTAAACTGGGCGAATGGCAAAAAGGGCTTTAGCGCAAATGTGGGCGAATGCAGCGCCAACCCCCCATAAATGCTGAAAAAGTTAAGCTCTCGGTTTTTGCGGGATTATTTGCGAGCGTTCAAAGGATGTCGTTAGTCCTTTGCGATTTGCAGGCGCAACTTTTGCGAGACCCTGCTTTCTCTTTGGTTTTTGCGGGTCCTGTGTGTGTGTTGTCGTTATTGCCGTGCTGCTTATTGAAGTTGATAAATTGAATCAAAGGTTAACTTTGTGAAAAGTGTGAAGTATGATTAACAACACAGCGGAAAGCGGAAAGCGGCTTAAAACGCGCATTTAAATGGCTGCTAATTTGGCCGAGTTGCACGACGAGAGATTTCCAGCTGGGCAAATTCATTTGCTCAAACTGTAAGCAAGCCCAGAATGATAAAATAGAAGTCCCTGTAATTGCAAAGAGAAACACGCTCCGGCTCTTTTTCTGGACCTGTCTCTAAGCTGTCGGAGCTGGCAACAACAGCAAGAAATTTATGGCCAACTTTAACTGGAAGCGGGAGCTGGGAGGCGAGGTATCCTGGCACGCCCAATACACTTCAGCAAACATAAATTTATTTATGAGCATGTGTCCCACCCCGCTCCTCTCGGGAGCGCATACATTTCCTCACCCGCCTCATCGGCAGGGGGAAGGGTCCTTCCGCCAAAGCTCACAAATTGTTTGGGGGTGAATTTTAATTGCTCCTCATTGTTTTGATAGCACCCCATACAGCTCCCTACTCCCCTGCCCGCTTCACCCTTCAATGGTGCAACTATGGGGATTAGAAAGTCCTGACCAAGTCACTTGGGCATATCGTTCGTTCTGGAACTTGTAACAAAAATGGAAATGATAGAAAAGGGTAATTTTAAGCCTGGTGTTTTGCACTATTTTTTTGTATGGTGTTATTATTACGCGTGCTTTTAAGTTCATTATTCTTGGCCAATGGTTCATTGATTTGCATATTACTTAACCCTGTTATAAAGTCCCTGCTGCCTCATTGTATTCAAGAATTCGTCTTGGTGTCCTCTTCGCAATCCAAGCGAAAGTCCTGACCTCTTTCGAGCGCTTTGATTTTAATTATCACGCAGTTGCACTCACCCAGCTGTGCTGTCTCCATGACTCTTGGCTTCTGACTCACGACATCCGACATCCGACATCGTACTTCCGATTTCCGGCGCCCTGCTCCGGACCTATCGTCCTGCTCCTTCGCGGCGCCAAAACTATGGGCAAAAGGAATTTTAATATTGAAATTTGTTTGCGCGGGCTTTGTAGTTGCAGGCCCGGCCGTTGAATGCATTCTCATTTTGTAATTAAGTGCAGACAGAAGTTGAAATCAGGTCACTCATACGCCCCATTGGCCGACGGTTTGACGCGGCGTTGTCCGTGAGAAAACTTAATTTTTCAAATGAATTTTTGCGTCCCAGCAGCGGCGCAATGGCTTTTCAAATTATTACGGTTGGGAGAGGAGGAGCAGCCTCTTCTGTTTGTGTTTTCCATTTCCAAGGCAGCGGCAGCAGCTGCAGGTAATGTTGAGGGGCCAAGATCTGGGGACGAGCGAAACTAATTAATTTCTGAACATCCCAGGTGGACCTAGGAATTCATACGTTTTTTCGCTGCTGCGGGATGATTTTGTTTTTCAGCTCCCTTTCACGTAAATATGCAAATCGCAGAGCGAAACTTTTTCTGTGCAATTGAAATTGAGTTTTAAAGTTTCGAAATCCATTTTAATGCATTTCGCTCCACTCTTTTCCGCGCATGCAGCTCGCAAAGGAAAAGCGGGCAAAAGCCGGGAGCACAAGGTAACTACAATTTTCCAGATACAATTTTACAACAGAATGTTGCCCTGCCAACGCGGCACGTGGAACGTGGCCAGATTATGCTGTATTATCACCTGTAAATCCTTATTGGCAATCAAAACTTTGCCAACAGCGCTGGCCCTGACCAACTCCCCCCTCCCCCTGCACCCATCACCAGCTTTCTCTATTTTTCGTTAGTATTTGTATTTGTATTTGTTACTTTCAATGGATTCTGTGAAATCTGCGAAATCTGTGCATGCAGGCAAACTTTTAATTTTATTGGAAAACTTGTTGAGTGTTTTCGGCACGGCATATTTTTATATCCTTCACGAAAAAATGTGCAAGGGTCTTCAAAATCATAATAGTTGTTTTAATGATAGTCAGTGCTTCAGTTTCCCTATCTTGTAAACCGTTTAATTGCGTAATTAAATCGAGTCTTCACCATTTGAAATTAGAATTCGTATTTCCCTGCTTTCAAAATTTACTTATTACTCAATTATCCCAAACTTTTAGAAGACTTCTAGCAACCTAAGTTATTAGTCAAATCCGAGGCACATTTCAAACTTTTATTCCAAATTATTTTCGACAAAAACCTTCTGCAATGAAAATAAGAGTCCCCGCTTAGAAACGAAGCATATATTTTTTCACACAGCCATCCCAGCCACAAAAGTTTGAATCCGCCACTCTGCTCTGCAATTGATGTCCCAAAGCAATTACCGGCGCATTGTGCCGCTGACAGTGTGGATTTGAGTGGCGGTTAAGTGCCGCTCCGAATTATTTTGGCAAGGCCTCAGCCGAACATCGCGGTACTGTTTTGAAGGCTGCCAAGCCCCAGTTCGATGTGCGGAAAATTGCACCTTGGCCCACACCTTCGCTACCAGCTAATCAAGCGGGCGGTGGAAGGATGCAGGACGAGAGTGACAGGATGGCAACCGCATCACACGGCACCGCAGCATATTTCCGTCACCGATTGCCTGCCGATTGCAACGACGGCTTGCTAGTCGCCTGGATGCATTGCCATTAAACTGCAAATCCGCAGTCGAGCAATTCTCGCATGTAATGCTGATGTCGACATTTTACTGCTGCTGCCATTGCTGCCACTGCTGCTGCAACTGGCACTGCTGCTGCTGCTGCTGATGATGCGGGCTCGTGTTTTGCCACAACAGCGCGCCACTGCCAGTGCAGCGACACCTTCTGTGGCAACAAGGAAGCCGGAGCAGACATTTCACCCCATGCCAGGCCATTTGCGTCCCCATTTTTGCTCCCTCATCCCCTGAAAACTGCAGCTCTTAAGCATTGCTGCTGTTGCTGTTGTTGCTGTTGCTGTTGCTGCTGATGCTGATGCTGCTACTGCGATCGGCAGCTGCTGCTGTTGTGGATTTTTGCATCGCCCTGCCAAGGGGGAACTAGGAACACAGGGCACAGGACGCCGGACGCAGGACGAAGGGCAACTGCAGCAGCAGCACAGCCATAAAATCCTTTGCAATCAGTTGCATGCAACAAACACTTTGGTTCATGTTCCCACAGCGCCTCCTGCGTCTTATGTGCAGTGGACAAAATTACACATTAGGTTTGCAACACTCAATTGATACTTCAAATAAATGTGAGCAAATATGCAATAATTAATTAGATACATAACGTTTACGAAGTACTTAATAGTATTTAAGAAATGTATTTTCTGTTTATATATTTTTAATCATCATTTAATTCCATGTAGTTTCCCCACGCTTGTCGGGTCAACTTTTATTTACAGTGCATCCCAGGCACGGCGTACAGGAGCTTCGCCAATACGAGGGAATCGAACCCAGATCAACACACAAACTTGGACCCTAGAAGAGGCCCCATTTACGTTTGTCTATTTGGGATTTCTTATCGTTGTTGCTGGGGAAGACACAAACGTATACGC